ATATTCAATATCTCAGAAGTTTAATTTTTACTGATGAAATTTCCATTTACTATGTTAGTGGCAGGGAAGGAAACACAACTAAATCTAAAAACGGATTATCCAAAATATTTGTGTGTGCTGGACATCATGGCCCATGCCTGTAATCCCAGAGATTTGGAAGGTAGAGGCAGGAAGATTGCAAATTCAAGACTAGCCTCAGCAACAACTTAGTGAGGCCCTAAACAATTTAGTGAGCACTTGTCTCAAAAATTAATTAATAAATTAATTAAAAGTAATAATAATAATAAATTATGAGTGTCAATTTGTTTTGCAAATCAGATACTGAGTCTTGAACAGATGTCCACACACCCATATGAACACCTTCCACTGCACTCATTCTTGACCATCTGTTAGATCAACTCTAGACTAACACCCTGGGAGAACGTGACTTTCTATGTCTTGACAAAAACAAGTCATTCAGAGCTGGTGAAAAGAATTTGTGCTTCCAAATGAGCTCGCTTCTTACCAACTGTATGTCCCCAGGCACATTGCTTACACTCTCTTGAGTTTCACTGTCTTCATAAGAAAAGTAGCTAAACCTTCCACAAGTTTGAGAACAGATTAGATGCAAAAAAAAATGTAAGTAAATTTTGGAGGGCTGATTATAATTCTGTTGTACTCCTCAGTTCTGAGTGAGCTAGACCCTCACATTTGGCAACATGGTTGTTCTGGAAGGTGTGAAGCAATACCAATCCCTGTCATCACAGCATTTTTCTGCTCAGGGAACTTTGGGATCTTCAGGAAAACATGTCCTCCTTCCCATGGAGAGCCCTGGCAGCAGCTGAGCTAGATAAGGGGAGGACAGGACAGGCCCTTGAAGGCTAAGTAAATGAGACCCAGTTTGTGTAACGTGTGGTTATCTGGCCACACAGGTGTTCCAGGGCCTTTCTTTCCCTCTGGAGTTTGCTATCACAATGTTGCCAGAATCAGAATATTACTTAAGTGAAAATTTACCTCCTCTGCAAATTTACCTCCTCTTCGAGGCAAATTTGACTAGGAACTTCCAAGTCTGGCATTATTATTTTTAAGTGTCTAGGGTCTCTGTGTCAAAGTTGAGTCTGTGTTATTGAACCCAGGAAACACGGAATTATTTTTCAGTGGGAGCTCTTTCAGCTTGCAATGCCATGGGGTGGGTGTCTGAGGAGGCGCCGCCCCAGTCTGTCGCCCTACTCTAGTCTGACCTTTGAATCTGCAACCCCAAGACCTTTAGGGCGAGTGTCTGAGGCTGGTGGAAAGCAAGGTTTGGGAGGTACCTTCAGTCCCCTCTGGTATTTGAGAGCCTCCTGTGCATCCATAGCACTGAGCTGCTGCACCTTCCTGTCAATCGCTGCAAAGGCACCAGGCAACAGGGGGTGAGTTTTCACTAAATTTTGTGCTATCCTATGACCTCAGGCAGCCTGTGAGGCAAATGGTCCCCATCAAGTGATGAACTAGAAAATGAATATTATAATTAAAATTCTACTAATATGGTGGGAGGAGCCAGATTTTTTAAATTTGGGAAATGGCAGGAAAGGGGATTTTGAAAAACAAGTGTTACAGGAAAAATTATTTCAAAGTGTGACTCTTATATATAAATAACATCCAAATCTCATGTTGAAATTTGTAGTCAAGGATGGGATTTTTGGTACCTAAATAGTTCATGGAAGTCAGAGAACCATGATGACTTTAAGAGATGCAGTAAATAATCTCTATTTGTTAACAATAGTAACTATTATGGCCTTGAATCTCAGTGGATTAAAATAATAAAAGTTTATTTCTTGCTCTGATAAAATCCAAAATTTGTGTTTTAGTTGGTGAGAGGCTTTCCTCTAAGCAGGCCCCTTCCATCTTGGGGTTCTGCCAGGTTCAGCACATGGTCTTCAGGGTAGTGGTACTTGTCTGCCTCAAGACATCAAAGCACGGAGGACCATGTGTTGGATTTTAGGATTAGAACTGGAACTGGGGGGCATCCATGCACTTCCATGACTCACCAGAAGTGGCCACGTGGCCCCATCTCCCTGTAAGGTGGGTGGGGGAGGAGCATCTAGTTCTGCTCCCAGTAGGAAGCTGTCTGCAGGCTCTGCCTCAGACTACCTACACGGACACCCCCAGACTACCTACATAGACACCCCCAGACTACCTACCCAGACACCCCAGACTACCTATACAGACACCCCAGACTACTTACACAGACACCCCCAGACTACCTACACGGACACCCCCAGACTACCTACATAGACACCCCCAGACTACCTACCCAGACACCCCAGACTACCTACACAGACACCCCAAGACTACCTACACGACACCCCCAGACAGCGGCACACAGAGGTCTGCATACAACAGCATGGCTGATAAAATTTCATGACTCACTGAGTTTAGCAGGACTGGATTGAGGGGAAGTCACTCATGTGCGGCTGACATGACAGACTGCTGCTCATGTCCCATTCCCTTCCGGGTTTTGTGGATGTAGAAAATTGAATCTTTCCCAAATGTTCTAAAATGTGAACCTATTTCAGTTTACAGAATGACTCCCCATAGCCGCTAGTCTCTACAGTGGCGGTGCTCCTGAGCACTGTATAACAACACGAAAGAGAACTTTTCACACCTGCTGTTTTCTCATCTCAGGAGCACTGTGGAAAACTTCACCTCCTCTATCAGTATGGGCTTAACTGTGACTAAAATTTGGTGAATTTGGTCTTAAATCTGCTGGTCATATGTAAAGAAAGGCCACCCTCCATATGGGTTAAATTTTGCTTCATTTAAAATGCCACTTTACAAATATCATATGACATAGTAATTCTCCCCAAGTATAAAATCCTTCGTGATACACTTGAATGACACAGATATGACTGTAACATCAGTGTAGCAATACCATGCATGAATACTGCAGAGATGCAAGACTTTGGTTCTTGGAGGTTTGTGGAGAGATGTTTCAATTTTGTTTGTTGCGTTTTGTTTTTTGGTTGGTTGGTTAGTTTTTGCTTAATTGAGTAAAAAAAGTTTTTGCTTCAAAGTCCTTTACTGTGAGATTGTGTTGGCAGATTTGATTGTTGCAATTGTGGAAAATAAAAGGCTTTCCAATTTCATTTCCTTTTTATTTGTTCATTCATTCAACAAGAGAGTGCTGGTGGCCTGCCGTGAAACAAGCCCTGGGCTGGGTGCTCAGTCATGACAACAGGGCCCAGAGAATTTCAGCCCCCCTCGGTTTACGACCCACCACTAGCTCCTTTCTTCTTTCTCAAAACCTCCTCCTTGTTATTGCATGGGAACAAGGACAAAGCTTTCATATCAAAAGAAGGGCTAGACAGCACTTTCTGAAGAGACTCTCATGGCACTGGGAGGACTTTGCAGGAATTTCCCAGGGCACCCAGCCATGCATTCCTTCCCCATCTTCTGCTCCTAGTTTAACATTTTCCTTACCAAACATTCTTGAACTATCCTTGTAAAAAAAAAAATGTTGCTTTTTTTGTACCTATAAATTTGGTCAGAAGACTGAATTATTATCTGCTCACCTTGGACCTACGCAAGGGGCAATTTCGTATGTCTGAATCTAAATCTGGGACTGCCTAAGGCTGAATGATTCTGTATCTTAACATTATGATGTCCCAGGCAGTCTCAAAAAAAAAAAAAATGCCAACTAACCAATCTACCACTAACTAAAAAGTCTCAGTTCTTTTCTATCAAACACTGTTCTTTCAGAGTAATTTTCCCAGATCATTTTGTTTTCCAGGTTGATTTCTATTTTTCTCTCTTGCTCATAGTTTCATCCAATGTTGGGATCACTGACCAGACCTCTGTTCTCTCAGCAATACCCCCAACTCCTTTTGTTACCTTTCCTACATGCTTTTAAGAAATAAATTAGTGTAACATGGATATCAGATAGGTTCTTTGTCTCATGAATTCAAAGAATAAAATCCACGAACGCAAGGGTGAGGAGAGCAAAGTAACAGGATTTATTAGAGTAATGGAAAGAAAGCAGAGGTCCTGAAAAGGAGGCAGGGGGTCCCAAGAGAGGGATGCCCATATGCCCATGGATGGCTATTGCCTAGGGGTTTATATGGATGTATAGGTTTTTTGTTTGTTTGGGGAGGTTTTTTTGTTTTTGTTTTTGTTTTTGTAAGCAAGATTGAACTCAGGGGCACTTAACCACTGAATCACATCTCCAGCCCTGTTTTGTATTTTATTTAGAGACAGGGTCTCACTGTGTTGCTTAGTGCCTCGCTGTCGCTGAGGCTGCCTCTGAACTCATGATCTTCCTGCCTCAGCCTCCCGAACCGCTGGGATTACAGGTGTGTGCCACCACCGTGCCCGGCTGTTGGATGTATAGGTTTAAGGAAGTCAGGCCCCTGCTCAATTCTGGGTAAGGCACTCAGTGTCACAAGGTATTTATGTAGCCTTTACTCCAATCAAAATACTGACCAGGCATTTTTCCTTTTTTGAAGAGGCGATGGACTCCAAGTCACATATGCTGCTGCTCTGCTGCCCAGCCCAGAACGTCCTCTGGGGGGTCCATTTTCCTATCTTCCCTGCCTTATCTCTTCCTCCTGTCTTCATTAGTTCTATGGAGTATTAACATGGGTCACCAAGTGCCTTTCTAGAAGGGATACTCTCTTGAAGGACTCTCTTATTAAGCTGTTTGAGAGGAAGGTGAGGGGACAGGAAAGCTGCAGGAGCTGGGGAGTCTCAGGGTTGGCTTTCCAGGAGGCTACTGTCCAGTTCCTGCAAAGAGTCAGGCTTCACGCTCATCCCAGCCCTCCCCTGTCTGCACAGAGAAGCACAAACCAAGATAAGGAGCACTCAGATCCTTCCCCCAAATGACAGGACAGTGATTCTGAGCACTGCATCACCACATCGGAAGAGAACTTTCCTACCTGCCACTTCCTCATCTTCCCATGAGCACTGTGGAAACCACCTCCCCTGTCAATACAGGCTTATCTGAGATTAAAATTAGAAATATGACCTTGGAGCCTTCTCTCTTTTCATGCCACTTTTCCATGGCATGGCTCGAAAAGATAAGGCTGCCTATAAAAGGGCCTTTCGGTGTTGTCCAGCTGTCCGTGGAACCTGACGGATCTGCCATGGTGAGTGGGGCACGAGCTTCCCAGGCTGACTTATTAGACTTCACCCGTTTTCTCCAAAGACTTCAGTGATGTGGGGAAAGCCGACTTTCCAAGCCTCGCTAGGCCACACTCAACCTTGTTTTTGTCTTCATGCAGATGCTGCTGGTCTGGTCGCTGGCACTGCTGCTGGGAGCAGTAGCAGGTAAGAAAAGGCGCTGAGCTGGACTTGAGAGTCTCACTGCTTAGTCTGCTCCAGAAGGCCTCGGGGGCTGGATTTAAGCCACGAGGGGGGTCAGGAGGAAAACAGAGAGGAGCAGGATTGAGAGCTCAAGATCTAAGCAGGATTGCCGGATAAAATCTATAATGCCCGTTAATGCTGAATTTGAGATAAGCAGGAAATAATTCAAAGAGCAAATAGGTGACATATTTAGACAAAAAATTCCCTGTTTAACTGAAGCTCAAAGTTGACTTGTAATTTAAAAAAAAAATACTTTTATTAGTTGTTGATGAATTTTTTTAACTTATTTGTATGTGGTGCCAAGAATCGAACCTAGGGCGTCACACATGCTAGGCAAGTGCTCTACTGCTGAGCCACAACCCCAGCCCCTTGACTTGTAATTTTAATATCTGAGTGTAACAGCCCTAGCATGGAGTCAAGGGAAGGATTTGAACCTTGGTTGAGTCACCTGCAGCTCCATGACCCTGAGCAAAATCCCAGGCCCCTCCTTGCTTCAGGGTCTTGTCTGTGAAGTGGGGAAATGACATCACCCGTCTCCTGGGCTGAGACTCTTAAGTAAGAGGAGTGGCTCATGGTGCCCAGCAGCTGGCACATAGGAAGATGTCGAGGGATGCAGCCCTGAGACAGCTACTACTCCTACTAGTGCTATTATGTGGCCTTCTCTCCAGAGCCCTCCTGGAGTTGTCCCTCTATGCAGGAGCATGCCAGCCCACAGTGTGTCAAATCCCACATCTTTGATTGTTTCTGCCTACCTTCTGCATCACAGGAATCCACAATGGGGCTCAAATTTAGGTCAGAAACCTACCTGCAAACTCAAGGTGGAGATGTGGAGTTCTGGCCCTTGCATGAAACTTGACCTCTCCACCCAAAGTGCAAAGCCACAGGGCTGCCCCTGGGAGCCAGGAGCCTCAACACATGCCCACCCCCACCACAGTTAGAACACAGGCCGCTCCATTCCTGGGCACCAGTGGCCTAAGGATGACATCCGGGTCAAGAAGCTAAAGTGAGTCCCTGCCTGGGACTGAGCAGAGACACAGGGCAGTGAGGGGGTTCCCTGGGGTACAGGGAGGAGCAGCAGCTTTTCTGCCACAGAGGCATTGACCTTTGAAGCTGCTTTGTGAGAGTATGAGTGGGAGGGTGCTTGGGAGAGTGAGGAAGGCGATCTGCCATGAAATGCAATTTGACACATATTTTGCCTGCGACGCCATTAAAGAGCATTCTGGTTAAACTAATATCCTTGAAACTCTTCTGGGTGATTTCAGGAAAAGAAGTCTGCTATGACAGACTTGGCTGCTTCACTGATGATTCTCCATGGGGAGGGACCTTGATAAGACCCCTGAAAATGTTGCCCTGGGCTCCGGGAATTGTCAACACCCGCTTCCTCCTCTACACAAACGAGAATCCAAACAGCTATCAAGTAAGAATCCTCCTATTTGCAGCACTCTCTTCCATTTTTTAATGTTCTGAGGCTATCTTCATCTATTTCATGCTTCTGTGACAGAACAGGTTAACAGGTTGGGTAAACTGTGTTACAAAATCAGTATTTATTTGATTCCCAGTACTGATGTAGGATAGAAGAAGCTGGTATCCAAGGAACTGTCAGAAAGCAGGTTTGTTGACTGCAAGGTCCAGAGGGCTATTGCCTAAAACATTCTCTGGACCAAGAAAATGGAAATTCTTTGAACTTTATACCCAATGGGAGGAGGGGCTTAAAGATTTACATTAGAAGTGCTTTTTGTTCCATTTTCTTTCTTTCTGTTTTTTTTTTTTAGACTAGACAGAGATTTTACAAGTTTGTTTGTTTTCTCTCCAAACCTGGCATTTACAAAAAAGAGGAATCTATGAAACACAATGCCCTCTGCAGGAGTTTTGTGGGGTTTTTTTTCCCTGTTATTCTGTGTAAAAACCTTTCTGACAAGAAGAGGAACTTATATGTTACAAATATGGTGGGGGTCTTCTGGTGGGGGTCTCTAGTCTACTTCATATTAGAGGCAGGGAAGTCATGTGGAGCGTGGAGACTGGAGAAGGCTTTCTTGGTGCATCATAAGGTAGCAAAGGGCATCACCTGGTGAGAGAGTGGGAAGAGAGAACGAAGGACGAGTGTGGGATGAAGTTGTGCTTTTTTGCAAAGGGCGCTCCTGCAGTTTCCCACTCTTGCCACAACCACAGTAATGCCTTCATGACAGCGGAGTCCTCCTGTCCTAACCACCTCTCAGTATAATCACAATCAGAATTAAATTTCAACATACATTTTAGAAGGGACATTCAAACCATACTGTTCCGCCCTGGTTCCTCCCAAGTTCATGTTCTTCTCCCATGCAAAATACATTCATTCCATCCCAGTAGTCCTAAATGTCTTAGTTTGTTCCTGATTCAACTCGAACCTCCAAAGTTCAGACTAAATAGGTACGGGTAAGACTCAAGGCATGATTCATCCCTTAAGCTATGAGCCTGTGAAATCCAAACTTATCTATTACCAAAATACATTGTAAGACAGGCCTAAGAGAGACATCCCCATTCCAAGTCAGAAAAATATGCAAGAAAAAGGAGTGAAAGGCCCCCAGATAAGTCCAAAACCCTATAGTGATAATAACATTGTCTTGAAACTCTAGTCTTTCATTCTGAGTGCCTCCTCCTGGACACAGGTATATGAGTTGGGCCTCCAAAGCCTTGGACTTCCACCCCATGACCTTTCAGAGCTCCGTTCGCCTGGTAGCTCTCAGAGGTTGGAGTCTTCAGACTAGTATCCTTACAAGCTGGTGATGCATTCTGGGAGCTCTGCAGTGCTGAGGTCTCTGGGACTTCCCCACTCCCACAGCTCCACTGGGCATTGCCTCGTGGGGTTTCTCTGTGGTGGTTCCACCCCAGTGTCACCATCTTTGCATGGGCCCCAGGCCACCCAATGCTAGGTGGAGGCACATCGCTCACAGACCTTGTGTTCTGTAAGTCTGAAGACTTAATACCACATGGACACCACCACCGTTTTATTGCGTGTGCCCTCCGTAGAGGTGGCCTGAACCACACCTAGGCCTGCTTGACCCATAGCTGGGAAGGCGGGGGAGCAGTGGGGTAGAATGCGGGCACAGAGACTGAGGCAGCACTGGGCGGCCAGCCCATGGAGGGCACCCCTGACCCACCCTAAACCATTTTGCCCCTATAGAATTAGGGTGGTAGAAACAGCTTCAAAGTTCTGAGAAATGCCTTGGGGATCATTTCCCATTGTCCCAAAGACTCCCACCTGGCTTTCTTCTATCCATAGTCTTCTTAGGAAAAAAAAAAAAAAGGTCACTTGGTTACATACTTGTTTTGCTCTTCTTAATGACCCCTTTTCACTCTCTGCATGCCCAGGATGCAAATTTTCTAAATCTGTCTGTTCAACTTCCTTTTTAACTATGAATTTCATCTTTAAGTCATTTATTTCATCTTGATCCTCATCCTATATAGCAGTTAATAGCAGTCATGTAGCAGCCTGATTGTTTTCCTTCTTAGATATTTCATGTGCCAAATATGCCATTTACTGCTCTTAAGTTCTGTATTCCATAAAGTCCTAGGATATGGATACAATTCAGACAAGTTTTTTTTTTTTCAGCTATATAATAAGGATGGCCTTTACACCAGTTTCTAATGCCTGACCCTTATTTCTACCTGAGACTTGATCAGAATGAGCTTTACTGTCCATATTTCTCTCAATAGTCTGGTCATGGTCACACAGTTGCTAAGATTCTGACTTCCCCTGTAGCTGTTCTCTTCTGAAGACCTTTCACCAGTACCATTCTTATGCTCCATTAATCTAGAACAAGATTTTTCTAGCCTGATCCTTCCAATTATTTCAGCTTCTACCCATTACTAAGTTCCAAACCAGCCTACACATTTTCAGGAATTTTTATAGTAACAACCCTACTCCTGGGACCAATTTCCTGTTTTATTCCAATTCCTGGTACTGTAACAGGATACCACAGAATGGGTAAATAATTACAAAATAGAAGGAATTCCCAGATCAAGGATCTACATTTTTTTTACTTATATATGACAACAGAATGCATTACAATTCTTATTACATATATAGAGCACAACTTTTCATATCTCTGGTTGTATACATAGTATATTCACACCAATTCATGTCTTCATACCTGTACTTTGGATAATAATGATCATCTCATTCCACCATCATTAATTACCCCAGACACCCTCCCTTCCCCAAAGGATCTACATCTTCAGAAGTTATTATTGTTGTATCATGAGATAGAAGAAGGTATCACATGGCTAGAGTACATGTTTAAACAGAGACAGAATGGTACAGGCTGAACTTCTTCTTTTATGAGGAGCCTACTCCCACAATAACCATTTCCACAATAATGGCATTAATCTATTCCTAAGGGTAGAACCCTCATGACATCTCTTAAAAGTCCCACTTGTTAACATCATCACAATGGCAATTAAATATCAACATTTTGAAGGGGATATCCAAACCATAACAGATACTAAATATTCAAGCCTCCTAAGGAGAACTAATCAGATAGTGGAATTTGCATCTCTGTTGATTTTGGGGAAGACAAGCATAAGTTTTATTTTATTTAACTTTATAAATGGTCCATTAACTTCATCATGGCTTTGTATTACTTCTAGGACACCTTAACAAATATTCTAAGTAATGGGGGATACTACGGTTTGAATGGTCCCACCAAAACTCATGTCAAAATTTATTTGCCATCAAGAAGAGGGACCATTAAGAAGTGATTAGGCCATGAAAGCTTCATCTGCAAAAATGGATTAATATAGTTATCTTGTAGTAGATTCCAGGTAAAGCAGTCTGGCTCTCTGTCTTATGTGCTCACTTGCCAATTCAAATTCCAACAAGGGAAGATGCTCCTGGACATCCCGGCCTATATAACCATGAGACAAATAAACTTCTATGATTTATCAAATTATCATAGCAGCAAGAAATGGACAAAAACAATGGACAAAAAATACATATAGATTATATGTAAATATAATCTATATGTATATATATATATATATATATATATATATACATATATACATAAGTATCATATATGTCTTACATATATATCATATATACAAATCATATATGATTAAAAATCTCATATTACACATACATATAATATCCTATTATTGCATATATCTATGAAATTTCCAAGTATATTATATATATAATTATATAATGCACATATGTATACACATGATATAATACAAATAGGAGGATTATATATATCACATATGTATGTGTGTGCACATGTATATTCATACAAAAGCACACACACACACATTGACACTCATGCACATAGAAAAGACCCTCCATCATGTGGAGATAAACCTTATCACTGATATTATAGCAGACATTTTATCCCAATTAAACAACCAAAAAAAAATTTATGATGCCTTTACAGTAACAACTTGGAGATGACTCTGAATAGTGTGGCTGCATTGGATAACTTATACTCACAAGGATCCCTCATCTGAATGGTTCTAGAGGAGGCTATAAGAAACTTGACCTGAAACACTTTTCTTCCCCAAACAGCAAATCACTGCAGATTCATCAAGCATCAGAAGTTCCAATTTCAAAACAAATAGAAAAACCCGCTTCATCATTCATGGATTCACAGACAAGGGAGAAGAAAACTGGCTGGCCAACATGTGCAAGGTGAGGCCTGGTGAACTTGTACAGGAACCTTGTCTCAGGGGCAAGTAAGGCTCTGGCCCCAACCGTGGAGGACAAATGCTGGTCCCCACCACCCTGGAGGATCCTGTGACCCTGGCAGACCCTGAGTTCCCAGGGGAGGTGCAGGAGAAGGTGGGGTGGAGGCACCTGGGACAGTCAGGGCAGTGAGATGGGAAGGCACTTGGTGGCTCCAGGAAGTGATTATTTAATAGCAATTCCAGGGGGGCTTCACAGCTCAAGCTACAGAAGCTGCCTAGCAGATGCATCCCTGCTGTGTGCTCATTGGCTTTTAACCTTCATGTAAAGAGCTAAAGAACTCTTTTTTACCCAAACTAACACTTTCCCTTCCATTTTCACTGGTTCCTCTCATCTCTGGTAGCAGTACCTAGGAAAAGCACAGTGAGTTTTCATTTTTGGCTTCTGTTATTTCAGCAGAAGTGATCCTGTTTTCTTTACTTTGCCTTTGGCTGTGTTACCAGATAATGAAGATTTAAAAGACAAATAGAAAAAGCTTTCCTATTAACTGCTAGTGTCTGCGAAACATTGATGCATTTATTTGCATATTTATTCTTTTTCTTTACCAAGTATCTATTGCAGCAATGACACAAAGCTGTCGTCATTTCCTCCGGGGTGTCAAGAAGACACAAAGGCCTTCCTAAGCGCATTTGATTTCCCACCTGTCTCTGACCCCAGCCAAAGGCAGAACAGAGTTCACTCAGAGCATTTAGCTAATCTGTCTAGATGAGCACACTGGAGTCCATTCACTTAGAAATAATCTGTAAAACCACAGCCTGCTTTCTAAAATACTTTAAACAGTATAGGACAAAGTATGTGATTCTTAACTGCAGGGAATATAATTTAAGATATTGCAATACATTTTTTCTAAGATTCCAAGAGCAAATTATTGTTTTCTTTCATTTGCTTTGTCTTTGGCAATAATGTTGCATTATGATAAAAAAATTAGTGGATTAAAATTGATGGTAAAGGCCCTGGATTCCAGTCCTGACTCTATCATACTTTACCATGGCATTAGTAAATCAGTTTCCTTCTTTAGATTTTTTTTTTTCCTTCTGCAACACAAGAGTTGGGGGATGATTTCAAAAATTGCTTCATTATTCTTAAATACTTTTTTAAATAGTTTTTTTTTAGTTGTAGATAGATACAATATATTTATTTAATTATTGTGGTGCTGAGGATCAAACCCAGAGCTTCACACATGCAAGGCAGGTACTCTACCACTGAGCTACCAGCCCCTATTCTTAAATTCCTTGCGGGGAAAGTTGGGATTATGTACAAACGCTCAAACGATTTCTACCAGAACTACTTTTCGTGAAACCATAATTGTGCTCTATCGGATTCTCCAGTAGATACCCGGCAGGCTATGTTTTAGGGGAGGTAACTTCAGTGATGTGCAAAGAAATTGCCTCATCCAAAACTCTAATTAGCATTTTCATCATGAAAAAGCCTACTCCCTTACCTTTAATGTATTTATGTGTTTAAGGGGTAGGGGGTCCTGCCTGCCTCCGACTCATTCACTGTTTACTAATTGAGCACCTGCTCTGTGCCAAGAACTGTTCTAGACCCTGAGCATGAAGCAGTGAGAGACAGACAATGTCCTCGGGGGCAAGAGACAATGTAATATTATGGCATTCAAGATGTTCTAATGAGACCACCCAATCTGCCTTGTCTGATACTATTGTCTGAATCAGTTGTCAACCTATACATCTGTTATAGTAGAAATCCCAAGAACCCAGCTCCTGAGATAGCCACCCTTCCAGGTTGGAGTCAATTTTAAACTTTAGGAGGGATTATTTATCCATTACAGACTTGGCCTTTTGCTCTTAACTTTAAGGTCAAAAATGACATGATAAAAAATGTACAGACCAGGGAGGGGATTTGTCCTGTGCTCAAATGTGTTAATAAACAATTAATAATGGTCTTGAATTATGTGCCTGTTTCTTGTACCTCTTGCATCAGAACATGATCCAAGTAGAAAGTGTGAACTGCATCTGTGTGGACTGGAAAGGCGGCTCCCGGACCGGATACACCCAGGCCACCCAGAACATCCGGGTTGTGGGAGCAGAAGTGGCCTACTTCATCAATACCCTTCAGGTAACTACATCCAGGTTATTGAAAACACTCATACCTATTGCTTTCTGGGTTCTCCTTCCAAAAGAAAGTTGTTGATATTCTAATTTTCTTGTTTAGATTTATTTTTTTAAATTTTTTGTTTTGTTTTAATTAGTTATACATGACAGTAGAATGCCTTTATGCACTTTGATACATCTTACATAGATGGGGTAAAATTTCTCATTTTTCTGATTGTACATGTTGTAGAATCACCTTGGTTTTATATATATATAAACATGTACATAAATATATATATATAATGTCTGTTTCCTTCTACTGTCCTTCCTATCCCCAATACCATCCCCTCTCTTTCCTGTGCTCCCTCTACCTCATCTAAGGTAACTCTCTTCTTCCCTAGTGACCCCCCCCCCTTATTATGAATTAGTATCTGCATATTAGAAAAAATATTTGGTCTTTGGTTTGGGGGGGATTGGCTTATTTCACTTAGCATAATATTCTCCAACTCCATCCATTTACTAGCAAATACCATAATTTCATTCTTCTTTAAAGCTGAGTAATATTTCATTAAATATATATACCACATTCCTTTATCCAATCATCTACTGAAGGACACCTAGGATGGTTCCATACTTTAAATTTATTTTTTAAGTGATACGTTAAAAAAAATTGTACAGTATCTACAGATCATCATGTGATGTTTTGATATATGCAAACATTATGTTGTGTTCAAACCAGAGCAAACATATATCTCATCAAGTATTTCATTCTTTTATGGTTCAAAATCATTTCTTCTAGCTTTTTTAAATTTATGAGCACACTATTATGTATATTCACCCTACTGTGCAATAGCACCAGAATGTCTTATACCTTTCTATTGCTTAGAGCCTGTTGATCAGCATTTCCCTCTCTCTCCACCATTACTCTCTCTATCTTCTAGTAATCACCATTCTCCTTTCAACTTCTGAGACCAACTTCTCTATATTCCACATCTGAGTGAAGTCATGTGATACTGGTTTTTCTGTGCCTGCTTTATTTCATTTAATATAATGATCTCCCGTTTCATCCGTGTTACTGCAAATGACAGGATCTCATCTTTTTATTATTAAATAATATTCCATTGTGTTTATGCATCACCTTCTCTTAAGCCATTCATCAGTTGATGGACACTAGGGTTGCTTTCATTTTTTGGCTATTGTGAATAGTGCTGGACTGAACAGGTAGTGCAAATGTCTCTTAATTATACCAATTTCAATGTCATCTCCTTTGCATATGTGCTGAGGGATGGGGTTACTGGATCATATGAAGCCTCTTTGCTGTTTTCCATGATGGCTGTACTAATTTACCTTTCCACCCACAGCATGCAGGGGCACCCTTTTCTCCACATCCTTGCAGGCACTTGTTATCTTTTGTTTTCTTGGTACTGTCCATTCTTACTGGAATCTCACTGTTGCTTTGATTTGCATCACCCTGATGATTAATGATATTGAACATTTTTCAAAAAATATTCCTGTTGACCATTTGTGTGTCTTCTTTTGATAAATGTCTATTTTAGGTCTAATGCCCATTTTTAAATCAGATTTTTTTCCTTTTTTTGTCTGTTGAGTTGCTTGAGTTCCTTCTGGATAGTGAACCTTTGTCAGATATTGCTTGCAAACATTTTCTCCTACTACTTAGGTTGTCTCTTCATTCTGCTATTGTAGTTTGATGCAATCCCATTTGGACATTTCTGCTTTTGATTCCTGTGCTTCTGGGGACATGTCCAAAAAGCCCTTTCTCATTCCAATCCTAAATCAATTATGATAATTGACAGACATTTATTGCTGAAATATGGCCTTCCCGTTGATGAAAAAAGAAAAATGCAAAGAAATCTAGATTTGAGTCTATCAACAAACCTTTTTAGGTCCATAAACTAGTTTTTGTTTTTTTTAGCGAACTTATTCAAGCAATTATGCAGATTATTTCTAATGAATTCTACCAGTATTTGTTTTAGTTTTATTGGTCATTACCAAATATACATGATAATGTTACCTTTGATATTAAACTAGTTTGCTTGTTTTTTAAAAGAGAGGTATGATATGGTAACAACCTAACCTGATTAGGTACCCTAAAGCATATAAAATGTTAAATGTGAATATATTTAAGTAGCTGCTTTCATGATTTTCTGTTTTAAATCCTTGCTTCATCACCTCTAGGTAATAATCCATTCCTTTCAAGGTTCTGTCTACATAGCAATAGAATGAATAGAGGCCTTTTCCCATTAGCTTAAAAGTTTAAAAATCATTTTTATATTTCATATAGTTGTGGGCAAAATCCATAAAATCTTTTACTCTGAAGGAGCATTACTTCTTATTAAAACTCCAGACTTTGAGCCGGGCACAGTGGTGCATGCCTATAATCCCAGCGGCTCCAGAGTCTGAGACAGGAGGATCATGAGCTCAAAGCCAGCCTCAGCAACAGCGAGGCACTAAGCAACTCAGTGAGACCCTGTCTCTAAATAAAATACAAAATAGGGCTGGGTGTGGCTCAGTGGTCGAGTGCTCCTGAGTTCAATTCCTGGTATCAAAAACAAAACAAAACAAAACAAAAACCCTCCAGACTTTGGAGTTTGCTCCTTTGGTACCTACCTCAAATTCTGGAATACTTCAGAACATTCATACATTTTTTCTTTTTCTTTTTCTTTTTTCTTTTTTTGAGACTGAGGACCAGCTCTGCCCATCTTTGCTCTTATTTGGGATCTTAGGTTGGGTCTAGGAACCAAGTTAACATGAAAAAAGATTAACAGGAGAAAAGCAAATAATTTTTGTTAATTTTTAACATGTATCTCTGGACATTCACAAAATGGTGACAACCCAGGGAAATGGACAAAGCAGAAATATTAATATGTTTTGGACAGAGAATGACAATGTTTTTGAAAGAAATGACAAGGCAAAGGCGTGTGGGTGAGGGCTGGTGAATTCCAGCGGAGTCAGTATGAGGTACACGAAGGAGCGCAAACCAGCGGAGGACAGGGTTGTTTCTGTAAGTGTGTTTGTACCATCCATTGCAGCATCAATTCCCAGACACTGTGACAAGAGAACTTCTTATGTGGGTACAGGGAAGGCATCTCTCTTCCAGAAACTTTTATGGTTTCCTAAAGGTAAGATGAAGCAGTTCAGATAGTCCTTCCTGCAACTGCTCCTCTAGTACCTTCAGCTCAAAAGTATTTATGCCCAGGACGCTTGTTCTGGGGTACCATTCTGGTTTTTCCTAGTCCCCCATTTGAGGCTTCATTTTCAGAAGGTTTCCCATAGTAAGAGTCAACTTGGCAGCTCTTCAGAGATTTGGATGAGAGGTTCTTGTATCAGAGATCAGCAAAGGGGAAGAAAAACATAGTTTGGAATAAGCAGAAAAGACCAAATTTGAGTACATTATCCCATATCTAACTGAATCAGTCTCTTAGTCCTAAAAAACAGACCAGTTCGATTAAATATGAAAGACTTGTGTTTCATTTTTAGAAGGAGGGATTGAAGGTAGGATCTCGTTAGCATTAGGTCTCTATGTGGTACAAGCATACAGGTCATGAATAAGAGGCATTTCTACAAAAACAGAACAAAAATAAAGGCTAATGATTAGAGTAGTCTATCAACTAGTTTCTGAGCTTGGAGGAAAGCCAGATGAGGATGTTTTTAGATATTGAGCTCAAAATGTCTTCAGTATAACAAGGCAGATAGTAGCAATATGACAATTTTTTTTTGTTTTGTTTAAAGTTTGAATGTCAACCAGTTTCTTCTTCAGGAAGACAAACAAAAAAAAACATTTTTGTTTTGTTTTGTTTTGATCTTAGTGATTCCAAGTCAGAAAGGCAGGAGAAAATTGGAAATGTTAGTTTGGAGATTTGTAGCCAGAAACTGGAGGAAACGAAAACAATTAGGATTTAGTCCAATTTGCAGGTAAATAATAAAATCTCAAAAAACAAAACAGAACAATGAGCTAGAATCTAATAACATATGTACTATAGGGTTTTATTTTCTCTATATAATCATATTTACCATGTTTACCAAAGATAATTACAATGATTTGTTTGCAAAATAAGTTTAGTCTCCTTGAACTTGGCCTGATTATTTACCTAAGTGCAACAAGAATAGTGATTGACTCTGTTAAGTTTGCTCTGTTGACACTTAAAATCTGATAAAGAATCTCAGATCAGGCACTTAAAAGTCTCTTGAGGCTACAAAGTCAATCCAAGGACTCAACCACATACTGTGACAGATGGATTCTTTTCTTCTCAAGTTCCCCCAAATAGCTAGAGGTGCCTGGGCTGGCTAGGAAAAGGTGGTTTTTACTCATCACTCAGCTAGAAACACTGTAAAGGAACCACGTGTGTAAGGAACCAGTGCAGTATTTCCAGGGTTTTTTTTTTTTTTTTTTTTTTACTAGCTCCATAAAGTCAACCTCAGTCACTTAAAGCTGTCTGGTCATATTAGAAAATATGACATTCCAGTCAAAGCCTTTGTAATGTAACTAGAGTTTCCAAGTGTGTCCCATTACAGTGAAGAGATTCTTAGTGGACTTGTGCCAAGAACCATGTTGCCATAAGAATAAAAAAATACATGAATAGCTTCTGAATCATGGAGAGATCAGGTAGGGAGCAAAAGTAAATGTTTCAATTGTTCATATATCTTACCAAAGTATTGTAAGCTTTAGATAACTTAAAATATTTTTTCTCTTTTTGAGGTTTTATTCTCTTTTATCAATTTTTAAAACAAAATATAAAAAGAATCAGTAATGTTTTAAACAAAAAAAACTCATTGAAAAATCATAATCCTTCGTAAGTTTAGTCCCACATGACTAATTATTGTTCTGCTTAGTGTTGAATTAGCCTACTGGTTTCATGAACCTATTAATTTCTTCATTAGAGTTCTTGGAATTTTTACCCATCCTAATGGTTCTTTAAGCTGTGTTCTTTTGTCAAGAGTAATTATCAGAATCTTTCATGAATTTTTTTGAAGAAAAGATGTTTGAGATTGTAGCTGATTGCAAATGCCTTTAGAGAAGAATCATTCTAAAAAGTAACTGTCTGTGGACAGTCAAATACTTAGAATGATCCATGGTTTAAAAATCTAAGTGACAATTCATAGTAATAATTCACATGTAAATCTGGTTATTTCCAAGTGTTGTGATATGTGACATTTTAACTTAATAACAAAACTGTGATTGATAATATTACACCAAAACATCAGATTTCTAGGCATTTCATACAGCTTCTGGGGCACATATAAATAATATATCTATATATATTTAAAAAAATTTTTTAGTTGTAGATGGACATGATACCTTTATTTTATTTATTTATTTTTATGTGGTACTGAGGATTGAACCTAGTGCCTCATAGGTGCTAGGAAATAGCTCTACCACAGAGCCACAACCCCAGCCCCATATATATATGTGTGTGTGTGTGTGTGTGTGTGTGTGTGTGTGTGTATGTGTGTGTGTGTGTCCATATATATTTAACTCAAAGAAGGGTAAACATCATTTCTTATATGCAAAGTTTCTCAGGTAATTTAATGCCAAATAACCCTAGTTGGCTTACTTTCTATCTCTCTTTGGATATTACAGGGGACTCTGGAACATCCCAAAGTTAGTTTCAGGTCAAAAAGACTTAATTTAGAATTTTATTTGGAGAAGTTTGCAAAAACTTTCAAAAGTCTGATAATACTTGAAAAAAAAAAAAAAACAGGATCACAAGTCATTATGAAACAATAGCCGTTCATTTAACCAAAATGATAACAAAATACTTTGAAGGCAAATACAAGAAGGTACATTGTTATAGAAAAAAAAACTTTACCTCTTTTCAATTGTCTTAAGTAATCAAAGCTCTACTAATGAAAATACAAAGCACAGGAAATTATTTGACAAAATATAGAATCTCTCTCTTCTTCCTCCCTCAGATGAGTTTAAGAACTTTTTTTTTACTATTATCTAATATTACTACCACAAGAAAGTTTTGGTTAAATTCTTAGTTTTGTATTGATGTATTTTTGATATTAAAGCTTGTTTCAAAAATCTTTAGGACAAATTCACTCAAGTTTAGTCAGTCTGGCCATACAAGATTCTCTCTCTCTCCATCTTTTCTCAATTTTTTATATTCATTCAGTTCTACCTATAATATTCCTATAAGGAAAACACATCTTCTTTTACATGTAAGCTTTGCATACAGATGTTTCCTTTTTGTAGTTTTTATTAGTAGATAGAATTTTAATTCCTAGCAGTTGTGAAACAACTGCTGTAGACTGAACTATTTTATAATTTCTAGATATTGTGCTTCTTCCAAGTGCAATTTTTAAGCTTATTAACAGAACCAATATCTTTAACTTCTTTGTAATAATAAGCCAAAAGTAGATAAAATTAAATCACATATTCAGTAACTAATGTTTTAATATTTCATCTTTGTCAAAAATAATCTAAATATTTAATGAACATCCATATTTAATTTAACTAACAAAACTTTAAGGGTATGGTCACTGAATATATTGTTTAAAAGATCATTTTTAAACTTTTATCCTATTGATATTTAATTTAATTTTATTCAACAATTAGCTCCAGAAATTAAGTGAGGCATTAGATAAAGTGAGTTATACCCTCAAGCTATTTTTCATCAACCACTTTTGTCACAAGGACATATCAGGCGAGTATCACAAAATTGAGAACCCTGAAATTAAATACATGGGTACTTTGCTAACACCTCAGAAGACACTCTGTTTTCAAGCAATATTAAACTAGCTTTATTTATCCAAGATTACTAAGTCAATGAGCTTGAAAAAATATTTGGGCAAATTCCTATATCTGGCAGTTTTAGCTATATTTAATTTATGAGCATTCATTTATCTGTAAACCAATTTGAATATAATTTCTTTGGAGGATTTCATATCATGTAAACAACCATAAACATATGCATAAACATAAACCTACATATAGGCATCATAACTTTCATTTAACATTTTTAGCCATGAGACAGGTGTAATAATATAAACCTCACTGTTTTGTGAAAAGGAATGTTGGATCCAAACCATGTTTTTAATTTTTTCTTTCCTTTTTGTTAATTTTTTTTTCTTTTTGAAAATGGGACAAGTTAAGCTTACCTGTTGATGTGGCTAAAGACTTTTACTAATATTAACGAAAATACAAGATCTTTCATTTGTTTGTTATTCAAATAGTCAAAATTCAGGCCAACAGGAGAAGAAGCAAGTAGAGGAGGCAGAACATAGAGTTAGCAGCAACTGGAGAAGAGGAGTTTCAGTCCCCTGAAACGTTTCCATGAGAGAAGCAGGATTCAATAAAGAAAATTACAGCCAGAATATCAACTTTCAATTGACTTCTGACTATGGAGCTCTTTTGAAAATATCCTTTTTCTTCTCTATATTTGCCTATTAGAAGTCCAAGGGAACTACTATTTAAATTTTGCCCTCTTTTAATGCAGGACAGCCCCATTTCCAATGTCCTGACTTTTCACAATATCAGCAAGCATCCTGAGATGAACAGATGAGGTTTGAGCAATGGTAAAACTAGAATCACTTTTTCTAGAGATACATTCCTACTTTTGTGAAGACTTATTAATTTACAAGTTAAGGTCAATTGTTTTTAATTCCTCAAAAATTTGTGTTACAGTCTGAGTGACATCAAGGGACTGTTTATACACCTAATTGCATTATCTTCAGTCTGTTCCCTTCTATCCATAGCAAATTTCCAACTAAGGTAGAAAGCAAAAGATTTCTTGTTCCAAATTTAGAGTTGTTTATCTTTAAAATGTTTTAGTAAGACAGCGTCTTTCTTTCTGAGTATATTTTGGCTCAGGAGAGAAAGTTTAAACTTTTAAAAAAATTTCTATCACACTATGAATATAAATCAAAATCTTAAATCAATGGTATACTTCACAAGTGACTCAAGGTGAAAACTAATAAGTACTTTGTGGCTATAATTAACATCTCTAGAAGAAGAACAAAAAGATGCAGTCCTTCTAAGATACAGGGATTCCCAAAAGGACTAGAAAATCTAAACACAATTAGTATACTTAGCTGCAAATGGGATGCAACTCACATTTCTTTCTGGCCATATTCCAAACTAAGGCTGTCTTACTCATGTTTCCCCTATATACAGAAAGGCAAATCACAGTAAGAAAAACAGGCTGTCCATAGGAGGAAAGTAATCATTAACAAATCAATAGCCATACCAATATAAATTCAAAGCAATCAATTTCTTACAAAAATTTTTCTCCTGAGCTAAAAGAATTCATGGAGGAAAGGAATTTATGGTGGATTTAAAATTCTTTAACTTTGCTTTAAATTGATTTCTCCTCTTTAATCTTGCTAAGGGAATCCCCAAGGCTGTCCATTGTACTGCTTTGTTTCCATTTTTAATTTGATTTTCCTACAGGTGTACATATTTCTTTTTAAATATAGCCAGTTTATTCAAAAAGCAACTAAAATCAATAAGATTCTTATTCTACGTCCTACCTCCCTCCACAAAAATAACCTCTATAAAATAGTTTGTTCTCACATGTGTTCTTCTGCCAATCTGAATTTTTAAAGCAAGGAACAAATAAAAATTTAGTATCCTTTCTTGGTCAGGCATTACCTACAGATGTCAGGGAGAGCTGACTCAGTAAGAATTCTTATCTTTTTCTGATACCTTTTGCTAAACCCCCAGGATCCCATCTACAGACTCTGGAATGAGTGAAGAGACCCAGAACCTTCTGGCTGGCTCGCCAAAAATTATAGAAGTTGTCGATCACCTCTACCCATCTTAGCTATCATTTGGAATTTTTGAATTTTGTCTAGGCCTAGGAGCATAATTAGCAAAAGAATGGTTAACAGGAGAAAAGAATACAATAATACAATGTTTGTTAACTTTTACATATCCTTGGTGAGACAAGAGAGTGAAGACTGAAAGAAATGGGCAAAACAGAAACTCTTTATACTTTAGACACACAGAAAAAGATGAATTTTGAGAAAAAATGACACACAAGAGAGTACGGGCTAGGGATAGTAAGTTCCAGGGAATCATTAAGAGGTAGGTAAAGCAGCACCAAACTAGTAGAGATTATGGTTTATTTTCATAAGTTTATTTACACACTTCTATTGTAGCACCAATTCTCACTCACTGGTGACAAGGGTCATCTTGTGTTGGTACAGGAAAAGCATCTTTCTATAGGGACTTTTATGGCTTGCTACAGGTAAGACAAGACAGTTCTTATAGTCCTTTCTGCAACTGTTGATTCTCAGATGCCTTTAGCTTAAAAATCTTTATGTCAAAGAGACATATTTTGGGATGACATAGTCTGGTTTCCTCCACTTTCCAACAGTCTCAGTTTGGATATTCCCTTTCCAATGTCCACGTTATTGGCCATAGTCTGGGTTCCCATGCTGCTGGGGAGGCTGGAAGGAGGACCAATGGAGCAATTGCACGAATCACAGGTTGGTCATAAAAGCAAAAGCTTCTGAATGAGATTATATGTAGTCTATTGGGATCTAAAAGGAAATACAGGATGGAAATCTGGTGCAGCTTGCTTTTTACCTTGTCATACTTTCTGAATTGGCCCACATGATCAGAAATTAGGCCTTGCAATTTGTTATCAAATCTTGGTTTATAGTACCCTCTTTAAAATGTAAATATATTTCATATGCCTAAAATGAGTATTGAGAACATCTAGAAACCTTATTCACCTGTGTTTACCTAAGACAAGTCTCTTGAATTATACAGATACAATAAAATATTAAAAATATGGAAATAAGAGTCACAGAATTCAAATGTATAAAATTAATTGTATTCCATTTCAATAGCAATGGTTAATAAGCCCAAATCTCATCAGCTACAGAGCTGGGGGAACTGGGACACAGGGTCAAGCTGTCCTGAGCTGCCAGTTCTGGTGCTGCTAACATATTTCAAACACTATTTTGCAAACCCCAGACTGGCTGCACTTTGCCAGTGGGTCTCATGTTGGATACCCAAGTCCTAAAACAACCAGGATATGATTATTCTGAAATTCCCCGAGGAAAGGCCACTTTCCTCTTAATCTCCCAACTTCTGTGTTGACCTGCTGATTCTCTTTTTAATACTGTGGACAAGTTGGTTACATTTGGGTTGATGAGGGTGTTTGGAATTTCTGTCTGTTAATTTTCTGAAAAGAGGATCTTCCAGAATAGTCTTTCCCATCATTTGTAAATGCTTACCACAGCCTACTCAGCCAGGCACTGTGCCATGGCAGATTATGGGTCCCATGATCACAAAAATGATCCTTGCCCTATGGGAGAAACAATCTAGTGGCGACTCAGCCTGAACAGCTTTTAGTTCCATGACTCCCAGGTCTGCCTCTTTTATGGTAACTGTGCTAGTGACCAAGATTCTCCCAGGGACTAAGTGCCCATAAGTAGTGGCAATGTCTATAGTTTGGGGAAATTCTCTTTAATGTGAATAGCAAACTAGAAGCAAGATTCCCTTCTAAAAATACTAAGGCAAGAAAGAACTTGTTTATTATACTGTTGGATTATATGCATGTATGAATATGTAACAACAAATTCCATCATTATGTACAACTATAATGCACCAATAAAAATGTAGGGAAAAACAAACAAAATAAAAACAAAGAATTTATTTATCTCTTTCCATGCATGACTCATGGTCTGTAACTAGTGAAGAAAAGTGAATAATACACATGAATAATGTCATAATTGTTAACATATTTTATTTGCTTTAGGGTTGGATCCAGCAGAACCTTATTTTCAGGATACACCTGAATTAGTTCGATTGGACCCCAGTGATGCCCAGTTTGTAGATGTAATTCACACAGATTCTGCCCCCATGGTTCCCAACATGGGTGAGTGCCACTTGTTCTTCTAGAAGGTTTTAAGTCTACACATTAGAGCATTTTATAGTTTCTATATGGTAAACTAAATATTCCCTAATTTTAAAATTCTTCAGGATTAGGAATGAGCCAAACAGTGGGTCACCTCGATTTCTTTCCAAATGGAGGAAAAGAAATGCCCGGATGTCAGAAGAACATTATCTCTCAGATTGTTGACATAGATGGGATCTGGGAAGGTAAACCATTAAGTGTACAGGGGGGTTTTCATTGGGGGAAAGTTTGCGTTTTTGTCTTGCTTTGAAATTGTACAGGTCTCACATTTTATATGACAAAGGGTTTTGAACTGCATCCCCAAGGTACAGGCTCACATTTGGACACATGGGCATGAGGAGACTGAGGGAAAGAAAGTACATTTGCAGTCAAATTTGTAAGGATCTAATTCAGGGAATACATTACTAAGTGGACCAATCTTTTTCTTCTCAAGCAGTTTTTCTTTTCTTTTCTTTTTTTTTTAAAGAATATATTCTTTTTATTTTTTTTATTTATTTATTTTTTAATTTTTTTATTGTTGGCTGTTCAAAACATTACATAGTTCTTGATATATCATATTTCACAATTTGATTCAAGTGGGTTATGAGCTCCCATTTTTACCCCATATACAGATTGCAGAATCACATCAGTTACACATCCATTGATTTACATATTGCCATACTAGTGTCTGTTGTGTTCTGCTGCCTTTCCTATCCTCTACTATCCCCCCTCCCCTCCCCTCCCCTCCCCTCCCCTCCCCTCTTCTCTCTCTGCTCCCTCTACTGACATTCGTTTGTCCCCCTTATATTATTTTTCCCCTTCCCCTCACTTCCTCTTGTATGTACTTTTGTATAACTCTGAGGGTCTCCTTCCATTTCCATGCAATTTCCCTTCTCTCTCCCTTTCCCTCCCACCTCTCATCCCTGTTTAATGTTAATCTTCTTCTCCTGCTCTTCTTCCCTACTCTGTTCTTAGTTACTCTCCTTATATCAAAGAAGACATTTGGCATTTGTTTTTTAGGGATTGGCTAGCTTCACTTAGCATAATCTGCTCTAATGCCATCCATTTCCCTGTAAATTCTATGATTTTGTCATTTTTTAATGCAGAGTAATACTCCATTGTGTATAAATGCCACATTTTTTTATCCATTCATCCATTGAAGGGCATCTAGGTTGGTTCCACAGTCTAGCTATTGTGAATTGTGCTGCTATGAACATCGATGTAGCAGTGTCCCTGTAGCATGCTCTTTTTAGGTCTTTAGGGAATAGACCGAGAAGGGGAATAGCTGGGTCAAATGGTGGCTCCATTCCCAGCTTTCCAAGAAATCTCCATACTGCTTTCCAAATTGGCTGCACCAATTTGCAGTCCCACCAGCAATGTACAAGTGTACCCTTTTCCCCGCATCCTCGCCAGCACTTCTTGTTGTTTGACTTCATAATGGCTGCCAATCTAACTGGAGTGAGATGGTATCTTAGGGTGGTTTTGATTTGCATTTCTCTGACTGCTAGAGATGGTGAGCATTTTTTCATGTACTTGTTGATTGATTGTATGTCCTCCTCTGAGAAGTGTCTGTTCAGGTCCTTGGCCCATTTGTTGATTGGGTTGTTTGTTCTCTTATTGTCTAATTTTTTGAGTTCTTTGTATACTCTGGATATTAGGGCTCTATCTGAAGTGTGAGGAGTAAAGATTTGTTCCCAGGATGTAGGCTCTCTATTTACCTCTCTTATTGTATCTTTTGCTGAGAAAAACCTTTTTAGTTTGAGTAAGTCCCATTTGTTGATTCCAGTTATTAACTTTTGTGCTATGGGTGTCCTATTGAGGAATTTGGAGCCCGACCCCACAGTATGTAGATCGTAGCCAACTTTTTCTTCTATCAGACGGCGTGTCTCTGATTTGATATCAAGCTCCTTGATCCATTTTGAATTAACTTTTGTGCATGGCGAGAGAAAGGGATTCAGTTTCATTTTGTTGCATATGGATTTCCAGTTTTCCCAGCACCATTTGTTGAAGATGCTATCCTTCCTCCATTGCATGCTTTTAGCCCCTTTATCAAATATAAGGTAGTTGTAGTTTTGTGGATTGGTTTCTGTGTCCTCTATTCTGTACCATTGGTCCACCCGCCTGTTTTGGTACCAGTACCATGCTGTTTTTGTTACTATTGCTCTGTAGTATAGTTTGAAGTCTGGTATCGCTATACCGCCTGATTCACACTTCCTGCTTAGCATTGTTTTTGCTATTCTGGGTCTTTTGTTTTTCCATATGAATTTCATGATTGCTTTCTCTATTTCTACAAGAAATGCCGTTGGGATTTTGATTGGCATTGCATTAAACCTATAGAGAACTTTTGGTAATATCGCCATTTTGATGATGTTAGTTCTGCCTATCCATGAACAGGGTATATTTTTCCATCTTCTAAGATCTTCTTCTATTTCTCTCTTTAGGGTTCTGTAGTTTTCATTGTATAAGTCTTTCACCTCTTTTGTTAGGTTGATTCCCAAGTATTTTATTTTTTTTGAAGATATTGTGAATGGAGTGGTTGTCCTCATTTCCATTTCAGAGGATTTGTCGCTGATATACAGGAATGCCTTTGATTTATGCGTGTTGATTTTATATCCTGCCACTTTGCTGAATTCATTTATTAGCTCTAATAGTTTCTTGGTAGAGCCTTTTGGGTCTGCTAGGTATAGAATCATGTCATCTGCAAATAGTGATAATTTAAGTTCTTCTTTTCCTATTTTGATGCCTTTAATTTCTTTCGTCTGTCTAATTGCTCTGGCCAGTGTTTCGAGAACTATGTTGAACAGAAGTGGTGAGAGAGGGCATCCCTGTCTTGTTCCAGATTTTAGAGGGAATGCCTTCAATTTTTCTCCATTCAGAATGATGCTAGCCTGAGGCTTAGCATAGATTGCTTTTACAATATTGAGGTATGTTCCTGTTATCCCTAGTTTTTCTAGAGTTTTGAACATAAAGGGATGCTATACTTTGTCAAATGCTTTTTCCGCATCTATCGAGATGATCATATGATTCTTATTTTTAAGTCTATTGATGTGGTGAATAACATTTATTGATTTCCGTATATTGAACCAGCCTTGCATCCCAGGGATGAATCCTACTTGATCATGGTGCACAATTTTTTTGATAAGTTTTTGTATCCGAGTGGCCAGAATTTTATTGAGGATTTTTGCATCTAGGTTCATTAGAGATATTGGTCTGTAGTTTTCTTTCTTTGAAGTGTCTTTGTCTGGTTTAGGTATCAGGGTGATGTTGGCCTCGTAGAATGAATTTGGAAGTTCTCCCTCTTTTTCTATTTCCTGAAGTAGCTTGAAAAGTATTGGTATTAGTTCCTCTTTAAAGGTTTTGTAAAACTCTGCTGTATACCCATCCGGTCCTGGGCTTTTCTTAGTTGGTAGTCTTTTGATGGTTTCTTCTATTTCCTCAATTGATATTGGTCTGTTTAGGTTGTCTATATCCTCCTGACTCAATCTGGGCAGATCATATGACTTAAGAAATTTATCTATGCCTTCACTATCTTCTAATTTATTGGAGTATAAGGATTCAAAATAATTTTTGATTATCTTCTGTATTTCTGAAGTGTCTGTTGTGATATTGCCTCTTTCATCCCGTATGTTAGTAATTTGAGTTCTCTCTCTTCTTCTCTTCGCTAGCATGGCTAAGGGTCTGTCGATTTTGTTTATTTTTTCAAAGAACCAACTTTTAGTTTTGTCAATTTTTTCAATTGTTTCTTTTGTTTCGATTTCATTAATTTCAGCTCTGATTTTAATTATTTCTTGCCTTCTACTTCTTTTGCTGTTGTTTTGCTCTTCTTTTTCTAGGATTTTGAGATGAAGTATGAGATCATTTATTTGTTGGTTTTTTCTTTTTTTAAGGAATGAACTCCAAGCAATGAATTTTCCTCTTAGAACTGCTTTCAATGTGTCCCATAGATTCCGATATGTTGTGTCTGTGTTTTCATTAATCTCTAAGAATTTTTTAGTTTCCTCCTTGATGTCTTCTATAACCCATTGATCATTCAGTAACCTATTGTTCATTCTCCAAGTGATGTATTCTTTTCCCTTCCTTCTTTTATCGTTGATTTTCAGTTCCATTCCATTATGATCAGATAGGATGCATGGTATTATCTCTACTCCTTTATATTGTCTAAGAGTTGCCCTGTGACATAATATATGATCTATTTTTGAGAAGGATCCATGTGCTGCTGAGAAAAAAGTGTAACTGCTTGATGTTGGGTGGTATATTCTATATATGTCAATTAAGTCTAGGTTATTAATTGTGTTATTGAGTTCTATAGTTTCCTTATTCAACTTTTGTTTGGAAGATCTGTCCAGTGGTGATAGAGGTGTGTTGAAGTCTCCCATGATTATTGTATGGTGGTCTATTAGACTCTTGAACTTGAGAAGAGTTTGTTTGATGAACATAGCTGCACCATTGTTTGGGGCATATATATTTATGATTGTTATGTCTTGTTGGTGTATGGTTCCCTTGAGCAGTATGTAGTGTCCCTCTTTATCCCTTTTGATTAACTTTGGCTTGAAATCTATTTTATTTGATATGAGTATGGATACTCCTGCTTGTTTCCGAAGTCCATATGAGTGATATGATTTTTCCCAACCTTTCACCTTCAGCCTATGTATGTCTTTTCCTATCAAATGCGTCTCCTGTAGGCAGCATATTGTTGGGTCTTGTTTTGTGATCCATTCTACTAGCCTGTGTCTCTTGATTGGTGAGTTTAAGCCATTAACATTTAGGGTTATTATTGAGATATGGGTTGTTCTTCCAGCCATATTTGTTTATTTATGTTACTAAACATGGTTTGTTTTCCTCTTTGATTATTTTCCCCCCTTTAGTGTCCTACCTCCCACTGTTGGTTTTCATTGTTATTTTCCATTTCCTCTTCCTGTAATGTTTTGCCAAGGATGTTTTGAAGAGATGGTTTTCTAGCTGCAAATTCTTTTAACTTTTGTTTATCGTGGAAGGTTTTAATTTCATCTTCCATCCTGAAGCTTAATTTCGCTGGAAACACAATTCTTGGTTGGAACCCATTTTCTTTCAGTGTTTGAAATATGTTATTCCAGGATCTTCTAGCTTTCAGAGTCTGTGTTGAAAGATCAGCTGTTATCCTGATTGGCTTACCCCTAAATGTGATCTGCTTCCTTTCTCTTGTAGCTTTTAAAATTCTCTCCTTATTCTGTATGTTGGGCATCTTCATTATAATGTGTCTAGGTGTGGGTCTCTTATGATTTTGCACATTCGGCGTCCTGTAGGCTTCTAGGATTTGGGGTTCTGTCTCATTCTTCAAGTCTGGGAAGTTTTCTCGTATTATTTCATTGAATAGATTGCTCATTCCTTTGGTTTGAAACTCTGTCCCTTCCTGTATCCCAATGACTCTTAAATTTGGTCTCTTGATGTTATCCCATATTTCTTGGATGTTCTGCTCATGGTTTCTTAACAGTCTTGCTGAGCTGTCTATGTTCTTTTCAAGTTGAAATACTTTATCTTCATTGTCTGATGTTCTGTCTTCTAAGTGTTCTACTCTGCTGGTAGTATTCTCAATTGAGTTTTTAAGTTGGCTTATTGCTTCCTGCATTTCTAGGATTTCTGTTTGTTTGTTTTTTATAACCTCTATTTCCCTGTATAGTTGATCTTTTGCTTCTTGGATTTGTTTATGTAATTCATTGTTGAAGTGATCTTTCATTGTCTGATTTTGCTGTCTGATGTCTTCCTTGAGACTCCAGATCATCTGAAGCATGTATATCCTGAATTCTTTGTCTGACATTCCATCTGCTGCAGCTGTTACCTCTTCTAACGTTGAGTTGACCTGCAATGCTTGTGGTCCTTTCTTTCCTTGTCTCTTCATACTGTTCGCGTTCCATTCTACTTGGTGAAACTGTTGTGCTATTGAATTTTCCCCCTATATATTTATATTGGTCTTGTATAGTTGCAAAGTCTCCCTCGCAGGCGCGGGCGGCGGCTCTGTCCCTCTTCGGGCCTCTAGGCTTGTTCTGTCGGTGGTCACAGTTCTGTCTACTTTGCAGGCGCAGGCAGCGGCACTGCCCCTCTGCAGGCCTCTGGGGCTGTACTGCCAGTGGGTCGCAGGTACGCCTACCTTGCAGGCGCGGGGGGACGGCTCTACCCTTCCTCAGGCCACTGGGCCTGTTCTGTCTCTTGGTTGCAGGTCTGGCCTGTTCTGATGGTGGTCACAGTTCCGTCTACCTTGCAAGCGCGGGGGGGAGGGGGCGGCTCTGCCTCTCAGCAGGCCGTTGCTCCTCTTCTGCCGGTGGGTCGCAGGCCCGCCTACCTTGCAGGAGTGATTGGAAGCTCTGTCCCGCCGCGGGCCACTGGGCCTTTTCTGTCCGTGGTCACAGTTCCCCTACCTGGCAGGCGCGGGGGGTGGGGGGCGGCTCTGCCCCTCAGCAGGCCGCTGGGCCTGCTCTGTGCGTGGTCACAGTTCCCTCTACCTTGTCGGTGCAGGGGGAGGGGGCGGCTCTGCCTCTCAGCAGGCCGCTGCTCCTCTTCTGCCGGTGGGTCGCAGGCCCGCCTACCTTGCAGGAGTGATTGGAAGCTCTCCAGTTTTTCTATTTCATTTAACAATGGGGCACTAACTATTATAACCTTAAACAGTATTTAATTTCCGAATGCTTCACAAATCATAAATACACTTCATAAATGATTTTGTGTGATGACCTCCATGAGTTCACACTAATTAGAGAAACCTATTCAACAATTATGTTCTACTCAGGACATTTACGTGGAAAAATAAAATCTGTCACTGATGTGTAATCATGTCTGATTTCACAGGAAGTCGTGACTTTGTGGCCTGTAATCACTTAAGAAGCTACAAGTACTATGCTGATAGTATTGTCAACCCCACCGGCTTTGCTGGGTTTTCTTGTGCCTCTTACAGTGATTTCACTGCAGTAAGTACCCACATTTCTATTAAAGAAATTTGTGACTGTCCTTCTCATGACTGACATGGTTCACCGTACATGACAGCATTCAATGAATGTTTATACTCTAATCCTTTATTCCTTTAGTCATATAAATTTATTTTAATCACAGTAACCCTGTTGCCTATCACTTCTCCATGTATCTGATAAATGCTCCAGTTTGTTATGAAAGTAATCCTAAACAACTACAGCAACAACAAAAATCTAGGTTATGGACAGCTGAGTTGTATTTATAGGAAACTGTTGAACTATACATTCTCCTTATGTGGAAATTTTGCTTAAATGATGACCTTTTAAACTATACTTATCAGCATGTGACTATTTCTGTGCATCCTCATAATATTCATTATTTCTTTGAGTTTTCAACATGTTTGGGATTCTCTTGATCTCTAACTTGGATTCTCATGTGTGTTCTTGAAAATGACATATCTATTACACATTTTTTTCATAAACATGGATTTTCTTCTCACTACAATTTTTTTTTCCAAATTAGGATTTCTAACATATGCCATTCAATAAAGAAAATTTCAAGTGGCATCCTAATTACCAAGGAGACAAACCTAGCAATTAAGAGAGGACCAAAACCCAGGTTTCACCATTAAATAACTGAATGATTCTACACAAAATATTTCACTTCTTTAAAGCAATTTCTTCATCTATAAATGTAAATAATAATGATAGACTCAACATATTTGGTAGGAGGAGTTAACACTGTGATGTATGTTAATTACTTAACCCAGAGCTAAAAAACATAATAAAATAGGAAATATATGATGAGGAAGGGATCACATGTTTTGTTAATAGTATGTACACAGTTTGACAAGAAACTCCCTGTCTTCTTTTCTTGTTTTAACTTCTTATTTCTGTCCCTCTCAATGCCCAAATATGGATAATAAAGCAAACAAAGAAGCAAACAAAAAACCTTTAGGACTCATTCAGTTAAAACAAAGTCATTTTCAAGAATATCAACAATCCTTTTAGGTGATACTCAGCACTTTCGTAAAAATAAGTTCTCAGTCTTGTAGATCTCTCTGCCTTTGGATCCCCTTCCTAAAACTCTCTCCGAGAGGCAGTTGGGCAGCTAATCCTGGCAGCGGTGGTGCTAGTGGTCAACCTGTGTACCACAGAAGAAATGATGTGGGGGTTCACTGGTGCATGTCTCTTAGCTCCTTTGGATTCTGACCCATGTCCTCGTCTGCCTTATTGATGGGCACACCCATGGCATAGAGATGAAATCCGGGTTAGGCAAAGCCCTCCAAAAAATGTCACCCAAAGAGACACAGATGATCTGTTAAGAAATGGGGTGGGCATTTATTTGGGGTATTAAACTGCAATTTGAGGAACACAGAATCCAGTAGAAACCAAAATATGTCCACTAGGGATAGGGGTTTCAAGGGTCCTTTTAAAGCTGGGGAAAAAGGAAGTCTAAGTGAGTTACATAGGTTGTAAAGAATTATGATTGGGGAATAAATTAACTTCTACAGTTCATTGTACTAATGTGGACTAACTTAGTTCAAACCATAGTTCTAGAAAAAAGAACACAGTTATTTTTCAGTTCCTACAATCCCCAGTTATTCCTTCTCAGCAAATAACTTTCTTTTGTCATGTCAGCAAGTTTATAAAGTGATCACCACAACCCCATGGAGTCTAGGTCATACTTCTGTCACCTTTTTTTTTCCCACTCAGCTTTGGCCTTCTTCCTTGCAGCTCAGTCTCTCCTTGGCTTTTGCAGGATGCTGGGTCTGAGACCTGCCGTGGGTCATCTGGTCCACTGATTCAGGAATCCACCACCTGCCCTTACAGTGCAGCAGCTTTCCCCTCTGGCATGGCGATTGCTTGTCTTCCCAATTCTATTCCTCCCTCTTCGTCCCTTCTAAAACCATCCCTTGGCCCATAATATCTGTGTTCTTGAGACTCGGGCCTCATGGTTAGCCTTAATGGCCAACTGGAGTGTTCTCTCTTCAGGTGGGGAGATTCAGAGATGTGAACATGCAGTTCTTGATATGCTAAATAGAAGCTTTTAAAAATGGAAAATGTTCTGTTTTTTGAGAAAAGCCTGACTTTGGGGTCCATTGTTCTCTTAATAGTCCTGTAGGCATCAGACGCTAATATTCTGATATTCATTCTTTTTTTATGGGGGAGGGGTGGGTACCAGGTATTGAACTTGACCACCCGACCACTGAGCCACATCCCTAGCCCTATTTTGTATTTTATTTTAGAGACAGGGTCTCACTAGCTTAGCGCCTCGTTTTTTCTGAGGCTGGCTTTGAACTCATGATCCTCCTGCTTCAGCCTCCCAAGCTGCTGGGATTACAAGTATGAGCCACCATAACTGGCTCTGATATTCCTTCTTATGCAATTTTTCCAAAATAAATCAAGAGTTGGGATGTAACTTAATGATAAAGGACTTGCCTAGCATTCCTGAAGCTTTAGGTTCTAGCCGAAGGACCACAATCAATTGATCAATCGATAAGCAAGAAAATTCTAAACACCTTGCAGACAGATGGATGCCTTCAGGCAAATAGGACAACTGAGAAAGGCAAAAGAGAAATGAAACTACATGCACATAAATTCTCCCACTTGTCTGGTTATTGTTATTATGTTATCCAACAGTGAAATTGCTGATTTATCCTTGCAGATCTCGAGATGCACTGTTAACCTTTGCTGAGACATAGTTTGGAATTCCTTTTACCATCATAATAGTATTCACTTTAGAATATTTGAATTTGTCACCTATAGGGAAAGATAGTGCACTATTAAAAGAAAAAGCATTCTCATTCATCATTTGTTTCTAATAGAACAAGTGCTTCCCCTGTCCAAGTGGAGGATGTCCACAGATGGGTCACTTTGCTGATAGATTTGCTGGGAAAACAAGTGGAGTGGGCCAGAAATTTTATCTGAACACTGGGGATGCCAGTACTTTTGCACGTAAGTTTCCATTTTATTTACCTTAAATCCTAAGTATATGTATTTTATCATTTCCATTGGTAACGTGTGAAATTCCACACGTTCTACACGGTGTGGGAAAATGCACAGTGCTGTGCTCCAGGTAATGATAGCTCATTTGCATAGCAGAACACAGTGTGGGGCTTCAATGGGACAAGAATGAATTTCTTCACAGTTGATTCGGCTGAATTCAGAAGGCTTCCTATGTTCCAGTCACTTTGAATTCAGTCAAAAATTCATTCAGCAGAATTATGAGGTTTTGTACAGACAAAAAAGTAATTCCAGAGAAAAACTGGCAGTTTGACAGATTCAAGAGATATTTAGGTAGAACGTCTTGGGGGGATGGGAAGTGGAGGGTGTGGGAATAGTGATACTTGAGGTCAGACTCCTGGGTTTCTTTCTGGTAAAGAGGAAGAAAAATACTTAAATTGAAATGAGTGGAGTTAGGAATATTGTAAAATCAAGACAAATGTTTTCCCATCTCCTATATTAGCACTAAAGAGCAAAACCTTTTAGTTTACTGTTGACTCATACCAAGGCAATCTTTTGGCTGCCTAAATTGGTTCATTTCCAAGGTCAATGAAAAACTGAAATATAGAATTTTAAAAATAGATATAGAGTGTTTAGACAAAAGCATGACAATACTCTAAAATTTGTTGATGGATGAAAATAAAATTAATGAAAATGTTACATTCTGTTATTTTTCCACGATCTTTTAACTTTAAGTTCTTAGAATATTTAAGAGCAAGTTATTATGTTAATAAGTTGAAAGTAAAATATACTACTTGGTTCTTTGGCTTAAAAGAATTTAACCTTGTTGGTTTTGGCCACCACTCCCCTGCCCCACTCCTCAATACCTGTCCTCTGAGCACTTACATAAAGGAGTGTGTATAACTATTACATAAAATTACCAATGCCATATATAAATTACTCCAAATTCTGTGGTAGTGGGGTCCTTATTAACCTATTTTAAGTGAGTCTTCTCTATAAGTTGACATTTTGCCAAATTTCTCCCCCATCAAGGTTGGCGGTACCAGATAGCTGTCACACTTTCTGGAAAGAAAGTTACAGGACATGTCTTAGTTTCCTTGTATGGAAGTGGAGGAAACTCTAAGCAGTATGAAGTTTACAAGTGAGTAAAATATCACTTTAAGCTTCTTAAGTGTTGAAATACTGTGCCTGTATGATGTATGCTATTGACAGAAGAGTTTGTTTATTCTTTAATCTGTGGGAGTAGAGTGCTGTCACATATAATAAAAAGAAATATATTCTTTCATATTGGTACCTTAATACGTTTCAGAATTATGTTTCTAAATTTTTTTCTCTATTTCCTGAGAAAATCATCAATGTTTGCTTTGATATCAGATATCTGAATTGTCAACAGTAAATAATTATTCTCCCTGCAAAAATGTGAGAATGGTAATATAATGATTTCACCATAATTGTGAGAAGAAGTAACTAAAACATGTTTGTAGTTTTTTTAAAAATTATTTATTTATTTGTTCTAATTAGTTATATATGACAGCAGAATGCATTTCAATTCATAGTACACAAATGGAGAACAATTTTTCATTTCTCTGGTTGTACATGAAGTAGAGTCATACTCTTCATGTCTTCATACATGTACCTAAGGTAATGATGTCTGTCTCATTCCACCATCTTTCCTACCCCTGTGCCCCTTCCCATCCTCTCCCTCCCCTTTGCCCTATCTAAAATTTCTCCATTCCTCCCATGCCCCCCCCACCGCCACCCAATTATGAATCAGCATCCACTTATCAGTGAAAACATTCAGCCTTTGGTTTTTTGGTATTGGCTTACTTCACTTAGCATGATATTCTCCAGCTCCATCCATTTACCTGAAAATGCCATGATTTTATTCTCTTTTAATGCTGAGTAATATTCCATTGTGTATACATACCACAGTTTCTTTATACGTTCATCTATTGAAGGGCATCTGTCATATTAGTATTGTATCTGTCATATTAGTATTGTGAGTTGTGCTGCTATAAACATTGTTGTGGATGCATCACTATACTATGCTGATTTTAAGTCCTTGGGTATAGGCTGAGGAGTGGGAGATAGCTGGGTCAAATGGTGGTTCTACTCCTAGTTTTCCAAGGAATCTCCATACTGCTTTCCATATTGGCTGCACCAATTTGCAGTCCCACTAGCAATGTAAGAATGTGCCTTTCTCCCCACATCCTCACCAACACTTATTGTTGATTGTATTCTTGTATTCCATTCTGACTGGAGTGAGAGGAAATCTTAAGAGTAGTTTTGATTTGCATTTCTCTAATTACTAGAGATGTTGAACATTTTTTCATGTATTTGTTGATTTATTGTATATCTTATTCTGAGAAATGTCTGTTCAGTTCCTTAGTCCATTTATTGATTGGTTATTTGTTGTTGTTGGGTTTTTTTTTTTTTGGTGTTAAGTTTTTTGAGTTTTTTATATATCCTGGAGATTAGTGCTCTATCTGATGTGCATGTGGTAAAAATTTGCTCCCAAAATGTAGGCTCTCTCTTCACCTCATTGATTATTTCTTTTGCTGAGAAGAAGCTTTATAGTTTCAATCCATCCCATTTATTGATTCTTGATTTTATTTCTTGCACTTTAGGAGTCTTGTTAAGGAAATTGGGGCCTAACCTGGCATGATGAAGATTAAGGATTACTTTTTCTTCTATTAGGGGCAGGGTCTCTGGTCTAATTCCTACGTCCTTGATCTTCTTTGAGTTGAGTTTTGTGCATGGTGAGAGATAAGGGCTTAATTTCATCCTTCTGCATATAAATTTCCGGTTTTCCCAGTACCATTTGTTGAAAGGCTATCATTTCTCCAACATGTATTTTTGGTGCCTTTGTCAAGTATGAGATAACTGTATTAGGTGTGCAGTTTTAATAATAAAGATAACCTAAAAGTAATATGAGTCAAAACGTACCACTGAGTTAATGTGTATGTGTAAATTTATTTAATGCATTAGGATGATAAGTATTCTATTAATCACCTTGGCTTGCATTGTACACTGGCTCTAGAAATATATATGTATATTTATGTATTTACATGTATGTTTTTTATGTGTATGTTTTGGTGTGTTTCAGTATATTTTTCTTCTTTTCTTAACTTCCCAGGGGCTACCTCCAACCAGGAAAGACTCATACTAGTGAGTTTGATTCCGATGTGGATGTTGGAGATGTGCAGAAGGTCAAATTTATTTGGTATAACAATGTGATCAACCCAACACTACCCAAAGTAGGAGCATCTAGCATCAGAGTGGAAAGAAACGATGGAAGAGTGTAAGTAATAAAAATCCAAAGGGCTGAGAAGGATTGAGTATTATTGTTCACAATTCTATCCCCACTAAAATTCTCCTTTAAGTTAAACTTCCTACAGTGGTTCACCTGTACTCCAGCCACACCTGCTTTCTAATATCTTCTGTGTCTTTAGGAGAAAGTACAGTACTTAAGGAAAATCAACTTTGATAGATTTGTAGTCAGAGTTGTTATATGATACAAATTAAGTGTTACAATGAGAATCTGGCTTTCCTATGGTGAAAAAAAATCTGTTGGGCAAATGAACCTTTTGCTGTATTTGTCATCAATGTGTGTGTCTCTCCCAAACTTCATGGGTTCAGCAAACTGTCATTTAAATTGTTAGGAACTCATTAAACTTATCAGGGAACAGAGGTATGTGCTCCATATCACTGGTCCTCTAGGTGAAGACAGACATCCAGGAGATGAGTCCTTCACCCTGACCATGACTGGACTGTGTGCGAGACAGAGGGTGTTTACCAAGGGAACTACCAGGAAGGGTGAACTGATGATGGTCACAATAGTACCAATTTAAGCTCAAGAGGATGTGAGTGTCAGCCAAACTCTGGTGCTTCTGTCGTCAGGCCGTTTGTCCTCATAAAAACCCAATGAAGGGACTTCTGCTTCTGGCAAAGGTGGAGTAAAGGCCCCACGTTCACCTTCACAGATGAAGCAACCAAGAATTCAGGCAAAAGATATGACAACAGTTGAGACATTGAATTTTAATCAATAAGGGGGAGTGATGCCTGATAGAAAAAAACAAATAAACAACCAAGATGAAACCTTAAAACGGGTTTAAACTGCCCCTGTCTTGAATTTCCAGATGTGAAATAGGCAGGAGAAGTGCAGGCAAAGTCCAGTGGACCCTCTAAGTCAAAAAGACAATGTTAAGAATCATTGAATCTAAGGCAAACGGACGTTATGGCGCAGCCTACCAGACAGTAGAGAACTTGAGAGGGAAAATCCTAGAGTTCTAGAAAATCCCTTGAGTATTCAGCACTGTACTGGTCAGCTCATGTGTATTGGCAAAGTTGCCACGGCCAGGGAAATAGTCATTTGAAGGATTAGAGAGAACCGAGCCAGTGACCTTCAGGGTTAATAGTGCTTGTTTCCACCCAGCCTGGGAAAAGTCATGGGGTAGAATATGTCGGACAGTCTTCTTTCCTATGGAAAATGGTTAATCGAGATTCAGCAGCACTTGACATGATCAAACTGTTTCCAAATAACTGCATCCCAGAACAAAAGATTTATAGAGATACACAATTATCCAGCACTAGCTAGATAAAATTCACACTATATGAAATTAACTCAAAGATTCCAGTTAAAGAAGCAGGACAAGATACCTATAATGAGGAAAGTAATCAATGAATTGGCACCAAGCCAACACTGACACAGTTAGAATGTTAGAATCACCAGGCAAAAGTAAAGCAGTTAGTAAACATCTATTCCATTTTATTCAAAAAAATCAAGGGAAACATTGCATATATAGAAAAAGATCCAAATTGAACTTCTAGGGATGACAAATAATATTTCACTGGAAAAATACCCTGAAGATAATTAACAAGAGTTAGACATTGAAGAAGTAAATATTAGTGAAGTTGAAAATATAAGAGAAAGCATCAAAAACCAAACAGAAAGAAAATATATGCAGAGAACATCAGTGACCTGTGGGAAATTTCAGTGACACTAATGTATTTATCTTTGAAGACCACAAAGGAGAAGGGACAGAAAAAAATACACTTTAAGTAATAAAGGCTCCATAATTATCAAACTTGTAAAAACTATAAACCAATGAATCAAAAAATGAAGGAAACACCACCATTAGCCACTAGGTAGCTCTTTGAGTTATCAAACTGACTGTTGATATATTACTGTGCTTGGGTTCAAGTTCTTCTTATTTTACTTAATACCCCCAAACACAAGAGTATCCATCAAACCACAGGGAGGGGAATTACAATAAAGAGAAAAAAAAATTCTGAACACTTTTTACTTTGCACATGCTAATGTATTTTATTAGAGAAAATTAGCTCCAAACATCTTAAACATTGTTTAGTCTAATGAGAAAAATGGATCATTTCAGTTCAATTGTTGAATTAAAATAAGAACGGCTAGCCAGCGCGAGGACCTTCAGTTTCAGGCAGGGCTGATTTCTTGTGCTGTTGGCTCTGCTCTTGCTTAGGTGCCTTGGTTGATAAGTGCCAGCTGTTCCGTAGCTGCTTGACACGACAAAGGAGCTCTTCCTGTTCTTTGGAATATCCCCTGACAGCTTCTTTCTCTGCTGCTTGCACAACTGCAAAACAAAATCAGAAAGGAGAATTCAGTCCTTCAAGAAAAGTCTTCCCTCCATGTCCACCCTCGGGCACAGGGTGTGCCCCCCACCCAGATGCAGGAGGAGAGCAGTGGCTGACCTCATGCTCAGCACTCCAGCTGGTGCCAGGAAGACCTGACCTATTGTTGTTTTCTCTCCACAGGTTCAACTTCTGCAGTTCTGACACTGTGAGGGAGGACGTTCTGCTCACCCTCACCCCGTGTTAGGAGGAGGTTGACATGTGTCATTGAACCTTACTGCTAATAAAATCTAGTGGTGAAGCAATACATTCTTTTGTCGTCAATATCCATGATTCCCAGTGAAACTTCTGAATATGGTGATTAAAATCCAAAAATCTGCAGTTTGTGGAAAGAACCACATACGATTATTGAACTCCGCTGCATATTGAGTGACATTTGAACTGGATACACTGCTTATGTGATACTGTCGCCTTATCCATTATTAACATTGCTGATGTTACTTAGATCACTGAAGGCAGATTTCCAGTCCCAAAGTGACCCCTCTTGGTAGGCCCATGTAGAAAGTAACACCTTTGCTTCTTTGTCCATTATCTTTAAGTTCTGTGTCTCCTCCTCATCAGACATGTCAGGACTAATGACACCGAGGAGATGAGGATGGGACACATCTGAGGCTTCCTGACAGGTCTCCCTGTTCCCCGTGGATCTCCCCAGACCCTTCACCTCTCTGTAGTCCATATGATCTTCCTAAAAGGAGACAAATTAATGACATCTGAAGAGAAACACAGGGAGCTTTATGGTTTGGATATGAGGTGTTCACCCAAAGCTCCTGTGTTAGTGCAGTAATAGTCAGAAGTGAAATTATATGATGATGATAATTATATTGGTTCATAGCAGTTGGAATGGACTATCTGGGCAGCAACTATAGTCCGGTAGGGTGTGGCTGGAAGAGGAGTGTCACTGAGGACACATCCTGGAAAGGTGTGTTTTCTCTACTGCCCCTCTCCTTCACTCTTTGCTTCCTAGGGGCCATGAACAGAGCAGCTGTCCTCTGCCCACCCTTCCATCATGAAGTTCACCTTAGGCCCAGAGCAATGGAGTCTGCTGACCATGGACTGAACCTCTGAAACCACGAGCCAAAATGAATGTTTCCTTCTCTAAGTTGTTCTTTTTGGGCATTTTGGTCACAGTCACAGAAACTTAACTAACAAAATAGCCCGTTTTATCTTTCCAAAGCACAAATCAAACATCCTCTGGTGGTCTGCAGGACAGAATCCACATTCCCTAGGGAGTCTTGCAAGGTCACTCTAAGTCTGCCTTTAACCTCAGATCTCAGATTCATCTCCTAGAACATTCTTTCTGGAACTTCATATTCCAGCCCTGTCCCCCAAGAGGTTCTTGATCTCAGATACTAATGGACACTTACATACTTTCTCTTCCTAGAATGTTCTTTTTTCTGTTTTTCCATCTGTATCTGTTTAATTCCTATTGGTTTCCTTTTTTCCAGGAGGGGGAATTTGTTTTGCAGTACTTGGGATTGGATTGAGGGGTGCTCTATCACTGAGTTAAGTTGTGCAGCCTGTCCTCAAACTTGTAATCCTCCTGCCTCAGTCTGCCAAGTAGCTAGGATTACAAGACTATGCCATGATGTCCAACTATTGGCTCTTAAAGAGTCATGTTGATTTCATTCATCCAGGAAGGCTTTCCTCACCTCCATTATTTTATTCACATTGCCCAAGATTGAATCAGAGTTACAGTATCCCTCTCTGCACTCCCACTACCCCCAGAGTTTCCTCCCTCTAAACTTACCTGTCCATATGGAACTTATAGGTCCATTTTTCTGTAGATACCATCTGTAAACACAAGATATGTGCCTGGTATATGTCTGGAAATATTTAAAAATGAATATTTTTAAAAATTCACTTTACTAACAAAATGAAGCAATAAGTCTATCAAAGTCTAGCACTTAAAATTGGGCAATATCTAAACAAAAATACCCTACAAGAGGAAGGGATATCTATGCTAGGTCTTACAAGATGGGTAGGGAGATGCCAAGAGGACATGGTGGCAAAGGCACTCCAAAGAGAAGAAACAAGATAGACAAAGATCCATGGGTATGAAAATATGAGAAATTGATAATGCCTTTCTTTCCATGTTTCACTAAAATACATTCAGGTTGAGCATGAAGATTTGTTCTTATGTGTCAAGCAGGATGCTTTCTTTCTCATGAACCAAAAGCACCAACCCACACTAGCTTCTACAATGAGGAAATGTATTGGCTCATGCAGCCGGAAAGTCCAGAGGTCAGAATGGATTTGTTGTTGCAGCAGCTCAATGACTCTTTCTCTTTCCATGCTCTTCTGTGTCTGGTGATGCTTTTCTATCAAGGATGGTTCCCCTCCCACTTGAAGGGAGCTGCAGATCTCCTCTTTCACACTCAGTATAAGAGAGAGTGGGCATCTACCTGCCTTCCCATCTTCCTCAACATTCCCTTTCTGAGATCCCCTCTGATTGGCCAGTGGTAAGGAAAGTGCTGGTTGCCTTAACTCAATCAGGGCCCACACCTGGGCATGGGAGGAGGTCAGCATGCCCAGTGTGCATGGATTAGGTGGAGAAGCAATGGATACTTACGTGAGAACAAGAAGTTGTCCTCCTGGTTCTCCTCGTGGTGGAAGAATGGAGCTGCTGTTGGCTGAAAGGGGTAATGTTTGGGGAGGAACAGGTTTGGGAGGGAGGTCAGAATGTCAGTTTTAGTCACGTCACACTTGAGGTATTCACCAGACTTCCAATTGGCCATGCCTAGTGGGCAGATTTATACACATGCTCAGTGTTAAGAATATAGGATTAGTTAAATAGGTAAACTTTGGCATCTTCAGTGTACAAATAACATCTTTAAAAGCCCCATATTCATCTGCAAAGAGATTGGCACAATGCTCTCCACATGTGAGTACCTAATAAATGTTACTAGTAGCCATGAGTACCTCATGTAAATATTCTGCAGCATTAATAATAATGATGATCAATAAAATCAATGAATAAAAGTATTACTTGCGAATTTATTCAAGTGATGAAGCAAAGTTATTTAAAATAATCCAATTTAAAATACATTTACTGTGAAGAATTTTCATTTTATGAAAGCTGTTGGAATCAAAACAGATTCACTTTTATTCAGCTATAACCACAAAATAAATAGATGAAGCCAGCAGGCTATAACAGCGGAGTGTCATGAGTGCATGCTGATAACTAGAACTGTTCACAAGAGGCTCTGCCACAATCACAACTATGCTACCTCACACGTGAGGACATCTGCCCACCACCTGTCTGCTTTGTCTGGGACATATGCCACTCTTGCTATTGATCCATGCAGCCAATAATTATTGTTTCAAAATATCTTATGGAATCCTCCTCATTTTACCTTTAAGAACTTCCCCCAGGTACATCCTCCTGGATAACACATAATTTTATAGCTTGTGTCTTCCTCTTTCAAAGCTCTGTTATTCTCAAGTAAATATAATTTTCTCTGAAGCATCTCTCTTTGATTGTAATTTTTGGACAATTTTCATCATAATGAATTTTTTTGAAAGTCATTTTTTTCAAATGAATAATTTTTTGTCTTTTTCCATTTATTTATTTATTTTACATATACATGGCAGATAATATATTTTGAAATATTATACATACATGGAGTATAACTTATTCTAATTAGGATCCCATTCTTATGGTTGAACATGATAGGGAGTTACACTGGCTGTGTATTCATACATGAACATCATAGGAAAGTAATGTCTGTCTGATTCATTCTACTGCCTTTCCTGTTTATATCTCCCCTCCCTTCCCTTCATTCTCCTCACTCAGTTTTATTTTCATTTCTTCTTCATGAAATATTTGAGTATGTTTTGTAGTGTAATCTTTCTGGTTGTGAATTCTTTTGTTTATCATGAAAGTTTTTTATTTTGTCAATTCTGAAGCTTAATTTTGCTGGGTGTAATATTCTTGATTGGCATCCATTTTCTTTTAGAGCTTGGCATATATTATTCCAAGATTTCCTAGCTTTGAGGGTCTGGGTTGAGAAATCAACTATAATCTGGATTGGTTTCCCGCTGAATGTGACCTGTCATTTTTCTTTGGCAATATCTTGATGGACACTGTCTATTCTGTATGTAAGATATTTTCATAATAATGTGCCTTGTTGTGGGTCTGTTGTAATTTTGTATATCTGGGGTATTGTAAACTTCCCATATCTGATTTTCCATTTCATTCTTAAGGTTTGAGAAATTGTATAATATTATTTCATTGGGCATTCTTTTGTTTTGTATCTCTTAGCCTTCATCTTTCCTGCTAAATCTTCAATTGTTCTTTTCATGTTACCCCATATTTCTTGGAAGTTCTGTTCATAGTCTTTTAAAATCTTTTATTCATGGCCAGCTTTATTTTCAAGATTATATATTTTGTCTTCATTGCCTGAAACTCTGTCTTCCAAGTACTCTTATCTACTGATGATATTTTTCCATTGAATTTTTAATTAGGTTTATTGATTCATTTCAAGGTTTTATGTTTGATTTTCTTTTCAGAATCTCTATGTCTTTATTGAAATGATCTTACATTTTCTTTATTCTCTCTCTGATTTCACTCCTTACATCATCCTTTACCTCACAGATCAGTTTAACTATGAACATTGTAAACTCCTTCTCAAACATTTCTTTCACTGTAGTGTTGGAGGATACTGTTCTTGAAGTATCTTAGTTTTGGGTGGGTGATTTGTTCTCTTGCTTTTTCATGTTGTTTGTGTGGATCTGAGGCAGTAGAGTTTCTACCCTGTGTAAGTATAGTGTCCCTTAAGGTTTCCAGAACCTCACCATTTAGGAGGAGACAAAGAATAACAACAACCAATGAAAACAATATACAGCATTAAACCAAATAGTTCCTGTTATGACATCTACAATATTAGTTGTCACAATAAACAGAAATGATGTGATTAGTTATCACCCACAGTCATAATAGTAAGTTTGCAAAAGGGTTTCATGAGCAGGGAGAGAACAGAAGTGATGTAGAGTGTGATGATTATGGAGGAGGGGAGAAAAAATAGCAGTAAAAAATTAAAGGAAGAGTGAAAGAGAGAATAATAGGGATTGGCCATTAACAGAAGAAAAGAGAAAAAGGGAAACAGATAAGTGAGAGAAAAAATATAGAAAGTAAAAATTTTAAACTTAAAAATAAAAAAAAAAATTCAAAGCAAAACCAAAATATAGTTGGTTCCATGTTCCAAGTTGTATGTTTTCTCTCATATGTGGGAACTAGGGAGGAAAGGG